ACCATTTACCACCATTTGAAATAGCGGCTCGAGTACCCGAAAAGGAAATGGCAGCCTATCCATGCGTCACTATGTTAGATAAAAAGCTATTCACATGGCAAATCTGCCTTCGGCTGGCGTTTGCGAGATAGGTACTGTCACGTTATGGCCACTTAAATTCTAACGCCGTGCTCAAACCCACCGGTTCTGTAGATTCTGCAAGAGCTGCAGAGGTTTTCATTTGAACACCCGCCATTCAGTAGGCAGCTGCTTAGAATGGGTATTCATCTCTTCACCGCTATCCCAATATGAGTACGTAATTGATATTGACACCACCATTTTGCTTATTTCCTCCTCCCACTCTTAGACTGTGGTCAAGTCACAAAATTCTACATTCTCAATTTGGTTAGACCTAACTCTAAGATAGTAACGTCTTCTTCCAGGTACTATGTAAGATAATGGAATGGTTTGCCTAAGAAAATTTACGTGACATCCTCTTGAAATTCTTTCGTATCTATTTCCAGCTTCTTTGAAACAGCACTGTTGCAAAATTGTTAATTCAGGTTTGGCCTGGTCTACGCATTGTCCTAAATCTGCGAAGCCTTCATTGCTCCTAGCAGGCTAATATTTGGAATATTGTTGAACACCGTGTACTGCTATGCTTTTCCTCCAGGAACAGAAAATTTTTACATAACTAATTCCCAACAAACGATCCAGGTGCTTACGCAGTCTCGTACGCAAGCACTATATACAGAATTTTTCTAAAATCAGCGCAGCAGGACTGTGTATTGGGGCCAATGGAAAACACTTAAGAAGAGGATTAATCAAGAAGTGGGCATTGCATATTATATATACCACATCTATGGAATTGGAATCTATTTGGAATTAGTAGAAATTTCCTTTTTTAAAGTATTTCACTAAAGATAAGAAGGTGCAATGGCTAGTACAGTTGTTCTTAAAATAGGATGAGAAAATGCTTTTTTAAGGTATTAAGTTACGAAGCATCGTTGTTGGTGACAAAAAGCATTCTCAAATCTATCTGGAATTAAATATGATAAATCTTACAATGTTGAAAAGTATTTTGAAGAAAAAGAGGTGCATTCCTTAAGACCCAAGATCATCAAAAAAAGGTTGAAGCAAACACCACCTCTGCATCTCTGCAAATCTCTGCTATCGTGAGCCCAAAGCGAGGATGCTCAATAAGAGCCTCATATGATTCAGTTCCACGCACACATTTAGAGAATATGGGCTTTCTTCAGCTTGGCAAAGCAAACGATTGATTGAGAAATAAATGTTCATACTTCCTGCATGTGCTCCTAGAAGTTTAGCACAACAACCAACTCAAGTATTCACTCTTGGAAGTCAAATCATCACATAGAAAGCTCAAATTTGTAAATTTTTAGTGATTTAATAGAACTATCCACCCTTGAATCATCGCAAACTCTAAATGCGAAACAAGCTACGATTATTCTACTTTCCTCATAACTGTGCTTTTGACGTAATGTTCTGGCTGTCAAGTTATTCTTAGGTATTGTTCCATACTGCTCGATGGCGTGCACTTAAGCTCTGTGTTACCCTTGCTTGTCAATTGTGAGCATTAAAGTTATTCACGTTTACAATTCTGCAAAAAAGGGCGTGGGTCTCAGTTTTGAAGTGATGAAAATATCATTATTATCTTCACTCATAAGCTGTATGTGGAATCAAGCGGGTCAAACTGCGAATAAGAGAAATGCGAAAACTAAGGTAAACCAGCTTGATGTGGCATAATCATTAGCACGACTCTCAATATATGTTGAAAAAAGCGGCATTATTTACCATTATAGTCACTACATTATTCTTATTTATAACCCTTTTTGTCCAGGTAATGTTCATTTGATAGTCTCTTCGACATACATCTGGTCGCCATCAGATGACGAAAGTCAAGGAGCAGCGAAGGGCAAGATCCGCGTCTCATGCAATTATTCGCCGCAGACACAGGAGATCTTCCGATGAAGAGGTTGGCAAAAGGTGTAATCAGTAATACTTAAACAATTTCTAATGAATAGGATCGAGAAATGGATACAATGGATCACGTCAATCTTCTAATGAATGCTGCGCGAACAGCAAATGAAGAAGTAATCATGACATTATTTCTGAAGAAATTGGATCTTACATGCGTTGATGAAGATGGAAATACTGCATTACATATTGCCGCAATGGTGAGGCGATACGTTCGATTCTCAGCCAAAGCAAATACAACAATACGTTTCGAGAAAAGAACTGCTTATATTTATAAATTGTTAGCTGCGAAGGCTAACGAATCATCACATTTTTAATGTAATAACGCTGATTGTTACTTGTAAAACATGTATTATATGTGATGGTTCGAGT